CTTCTACCTATGGCCTCTCCCATAGCTGGAACCACAGGCACGCCACCATGCCTAGCTAATTGATTGAGATGGGGTCTTGCTAACTTTCTTCCTGGGCTGAACTCAAACCACAAGTCCAGCTGATTAATCTCCACCTTCTGAGTAGCTGGGATTACAGGCATGAGTCACCCATGCCTTGCACCAGGCACTTCTTATACTGGATGAATAACTCCTTTCCGGAAAATGCCATTTGGTATTTAAGATACTTCTTTGTGCTGTTGAGAGGGATCTTTTAATAATCTAAGTCATTCACATTATTTATATTAAGCTTACATTACCTTTGCCCAAGAAATGTTTGTTCACAGAACTCAACAAAGCTTTAAAAATCAGGGACTAGAGGTATAGCACAGTGGTAGCACTTGCCTAGAATGTGTAAGGCCCTATGTTTCATGCCCAGCATTGCAAAAGGAAAAGAAAAAAGAAAAAGTCATCTGTCAATGTCACTGTGGTTCCTTTGAAAGTAATGTCTCTTTAGCAGTGTCTGATGGTGCACACCTGTGAGGCCCAGAAATCAAGAGGCTGAGGCAGGGGGTTATGACTTCCAGGTTCACCTGGGCTGAATAGAAAGAAAGACCCTAATACACACACACACATATACACACACACACACACACACACACACACACACACACACACACACACACGCAAGCAAACAAAAATTCCCCCAAAGCCCATCAGATCAGAAACAATTATTCATTTAGTTCTCTTGGCCATGTTCACAAACCAGGTGATTAAGCCCTATAGAAATCAGGCATGAAGATTGCCTGGGGGCTGAAAACTTCACATCCAGAGCTATGATGGGCATGGCTTTAGATACCTTCAGAGCTAAACTTTCCTAAATGCTCCTCATGGTAAATGGATCATGTAGATTTTTGAATTATCCTTTGGATTCCTGAGCTAGACAGGACATATCATGTCTTAAAAAGATATTTACGTTACTTTGAAGCCCCTTGGCTTACCAAATTATGTGCCTGAAGACAAAATTCAGCTTAGAATTCCTGACCAGTGGGGTTGTTGAATTCTATGCCATTCAAAATTTTCTGTTCTGAGCCCTCTGGATAAGCTAGCCAGATGCAACCAGAACCAAGTGACATTGCACACCATGATGTTCTAAGTGAGGGTCATCTCTGCCAACTCCAATCCAGAGAACAAACAAGAGTCTTCCTTGGACCAGTGAGTCCCTTCCAGCTCCCCCTCCACCACGTGCCAGCCCAGGCCTGCCTGCTCTGGGGGAGCAGAAGCTGAAAAACCTTTTGCCTGTCACCTTTATCTCAGTGAAAATTAGAGTTAGAAACCTAGGCTGCATCCTGGGCAAGTCATGTTCACTTTCTGTGGGATGTCAGGCATGCAACTTAACTCAGAGAGGCTATTTGGAAAGATAGAACACACAATTGTTTGAGGTTGTGAGATTATATGGAACACAGAGCACTGTGTATCTACTATATGCTAAGGTATAGATGTCATTTTTTATAATGCTTAGAATGGGCAACCCCTTTTCTTAGCCATTACTTGTATTATCCTTTTAAATACACTTTCAGGACAACCTCATGAATCAGACACCAGTTCCAGCCCCTCAAAGGCTCTGACTTGTTACTTGTAAAATCTGAAATTGGTACTTTGTTCAAGATTATTTAGTTATTTAGTGCCTGATGTCAGAGTATGAACCTTGCTTGATAACTGTGGATAGGGTTCTTTTTTGGCCTCTTCAAGTCAGGCCAGGTGAACAATCATCACTGTTACCTGCTCCTAATCTTAGAAGAATATTTCCATCATATTTTCAATAATTGAGAATTCAATAAATTCTCTTCTCTTTGCAATAATATCCTTCCGAAACTACTGCCCCTGGAATTTGCAAAAGTCCTGAAAATATTTCTGGAAAATAAATTTTCTCCCACTTGCCACCCATTCCTCACACTCCTGCTGGGCCTTTGGCATTTCCTGAGACACAGGCTGGCGAGGCAGATCTTCCAGTGCTGATGCTGGATTAGACCTCTCCCCATCCATCAATTCTGACTGTATTCAAATATTTTCAATATGTGGGCTTCTTGATAACTTCCATTGTATGGAAAAGAAAATGGAGGGAAATGATTATTGGCACAAAAGGGGGAGGCCGTAAATCTTCAATCAGATACAGGACAGATTGGAACAATATGGGTTCTTCAAGGTTGCCATGATAATGTCCTAATAACTCTCCCTGGACAAAAAGGCAATCTGCTTTCAATCAATCTTGCTTTTTTTTTCAGAGCAAAAATACCAATTATGTTGAAGGAAGATTTTTTTGCTTCCTTTTTGATAAGAACTGCTCTTCACTCCAGAAATCATGCTATAGCTAAAAGATATATATTTTCAATTGTCTAGAATGGTATTGGACAGCTAGCACCAAATGAAAAAAAGTCAATCTTTTTTTCCTCCCCTCTCCTGCCAGCATTTGTCTACTTCTTAAGAGAAGTGAAAGCTAATTAAAGGCCTAAGGGATAATATTGATTGCATTGGAATATATTTTATATGTACCCGGCACATTTTCAAGTAAGAGAACCCTGACTTTTTCTAAGGCTGAATAAATCAGCTGGCTGAGCCTTTGATTCAAGGGTGAGGTGCGGGGGGGAGCCCATCTCCTCCCCTTCCACTTCACACATATCTCTCCTAGGATGAATGATTTCCGAAGAGCAAGAGGGGTTGCTGGCAGATGTTCATTCACTTCTTTGTACAAAATAGGAAGGATGAATTTTCTGGCATTTCCTCAGACCTATCATTGATTTGAGCCTGGCTTTGAATAATAACCAGAGCTATACTAGTGTAGAACTTTGGGCTTTCCAATGCCTAGTTCAGGAAGCTGACTGGGTGGTACTAACCTCTCAACATCCTCATGCCTTGAATGGAAATAAGTAGCATGCCTGGGATGCCCCACAATTTTGGTAGCAGAGCAAGGGATCCTGTCTGGCTTACTTTTTCATTTACACGACTGCCTCCACTGTGGGGATAGCTATATGCTGGATTCGTGTTGGCCTTGCTCTTCATCTTGGAAGTCTACAGCAGAAAGCACTAGAATGACACAGCAGGCAACCCTGCTGTCATTTGTGATGAAGTTAGAGGAATACCATTTCTTACTCACTTTCTGAACATTCTTGGCAATTCAGCATTAGAAATCCTATTCAGAATGTGCAAATTCACATCTGGCCTGTTTTGTCCATAAACCCACATATATGCCACAAGAAACATTTTAAGATATGATATAATAAAAATGTATCCAATCCAGTGTTCAAATTATATCGTGATAACCTGTATTTCACAGCCTTATAGCCTTATAGCTAAAGAAAGGGTCAGTGTTACGGTTTTCAGCATGAAATTTGGATGAGTGGTCCAAGGACCCACCCCAATCTAGCAGGTACTGGCTGAGAGCAAAATGATCAGGATATGACATCTCTTCCAAAGTAGCCTGTTGACAGATACTCTTCTCTCCCCCTCATGACAACCGCTTCTTGCCCGCTCACTAAGTCCACCTCCGTAACAATAACAGTCCATAATAGCAATATTATTAACTGCATCGAGCGTATTATTGATTTGCTCTTTGTTCTGCATCATTATCCTTCCACCAATGAGTTTACTGCATTATTCTCACATACTTAGTCAAGCACCAAATTACCATGAAAGGGCAGGCTCTGGTAATGGCATCTAATGCAATGTCACATAAGCCATCATCACTGCCTTCTAGTATGAGCTGCCTCCAGCCAATGAGCTTTCTGCTTTATTGCAGTGTGCACAGAGCAATTATGAAGTGCAAGGGATCTGGTCATTCTAAATCTTGCCCAGGCGATTGCCTCCCTGCATGTTCACCACCTGCCCCAGTCCCTAAGCACAGCTAGAAATCCACACTCTGTCACTGTCGGCCCGAGGGGCACAGGGATAGGAGTTGAGCCCCTGGCTACATACAATATCTTTGCTAGAAGCCAGAGTTGTAGCTCCATACCCAACTCCCAGCTTTTGGTCTTGGCGTTAATTCTTGTACCAAAGTGCTTACTCCTGATTAGGTACCATGAGACAAATATAAGTGGGCACAGGATAGTGAGGTGCTAAGGTCACTTTGTTCAGAGACACAATAGTTCTAGAAAAGTGGTTCATCTCTTCAGGGTGAGCTACTATTTCTAGAAATAGAAGTCCAAACCACCCTGGAACAAAGCAAGCCTTTCCAGTCTGCTGTCTTCTGGCTTCTCCCACTCTTTAGGTAAATCCATTTGGCTTTCCTGGACATTCCAAGCACCCTAACACAGCAGCTCTCTGGGGACACACAGCCAGCAGCATGATCTTAAATTCTAAAGGCGTCCCATCCCCATTTAGTCCTGAGTAATGCTCACTTACTGTAAAGTGTTACGTGCCCCCATTGGGGGAGAAGTTATGGTGGAAAAATGCAAAATTTCCTTTTTACTGCTTATGGCCAGCCGAGCCTATAACGTGTCAAGCCACACATTAGCTACCCTGATAAAAGTCCGCTTTCTTACACACAAAATCATCGTTTCAGCAAGATTTGTTATCTCATTACCTGATAAGCTCTATGTCATAAACCAAGACTCATACGGTAAATCTCCCAGGAGGACGCTTTGTGGGCAGAAAGGGAGAGATATGAATCTGCAAGGGACTTGATAATGCAGCATTTAAGCGCAAGCATAATGTCACTTATTGTTAAATGCATAAAACCACTTGGCCAAACGGTTAGGCTTTTAATAGGATTTTGTGCAGCATCAGGTGAGCAGCCATATGCCTTTTCTGTCTGGGAGTCTCTGAGCACCTGCTAGCACTGCTGCTTTGCCTCACAGCCCTCTGGGGATGGGCGCTGGGCTTTACTGAGGTGGAGGGAGGAGATGGATGTTCCCCAGCAGCTGCGCGCTTCCTCTGCCTTGCAAGGGATGGGGAATGTGGGGTCATGTCACCAGGCCTGGCCTTATCTGACTGTCCTTCCTGTTCAGGCACATTGTGGTCTGTGGACACATCACTCTGGAGAGTGTTTCCAACTTCCTAAAGGACTTTCTGCACAAGGACCGAGACGATGTCAACGTGGAGATTGTCTTTCTTCACAAGTAAGAGCCTGCTGCTGATAGCAGACCCTCATCCAACCACACAGTCCCCCCTGGGCTCCCATAGTAGTTGTAGGGGTGGAAGTGGTTGGGGAAAGAGGCAGAATTGAGTAAGCCATGAACCCTGCTGACCTCCTTAGAGAGGATGTTACACAACCATTGGAAAGGGAATCAATTCACTAGTCCAATGATGAAAGCAGAGCCTGCCTCTGTGGGGGCAGTTCTTGGACCACATCTCAGTTTCTCTCAGGAAAAAACAACAGTGGTTTCACTGTGGGTCCAACTCATCATTATTGTCCCATCGGCAGCATGAGCCAGTGCAGTCCATGTGTGTCTGCAGCACCTAGTGTGGGATAATTAGCTGATGGTTCAGAAGGAGAGGGTGAGTCTCTGTGTGTGATCCTTGCTGGCACTGTGCAGTCTCTCATGCAATCTACAGACAGAATGGAAGTGCATCGTCAGTCGGAATCCAGTCTCAGCCAGCTTCTGACTGAGCAAGTTACTTAATTTTTTTGTGCCTTGGTTTTCACAGCTATAAATCAAGGGGATAATATTTCTACCTCCTTTGGACTATTGTGAGAACAAAACGAAGCAATCTGTGTATAGTATGAAGAGCCCAGTTAGACATGCAGGAGGTGCTCAATAAATGTTAGCTATTATTATAAAAGGGAAAATAGAATAGGTGCTTAATTTGAGAGGTAGGTCTCTTGTGTGTTTCATGGGGAGGAAAGCAAGAGATCTCTCCTCCACCCAATGTGATTGAGGTGTTAAGCTTTACCTGATCCCCTTTTAGGTAAAAGGCAGTATTCTGCAAGAATGGAGATAATTTGGAGGCTTCACTCTATTGACATGGGTGGTGTGGTGGCATCTCTGTATTCTTTTATGGAGATGAGGCTACTCCTGGCACCAATTTGCAAAGGGCCAGGGCAGACTCACATATTGGTGTTGGCTTAACATGATGTTGACTGTCCAAGGCTCAGTCCTACTGTAAGAGCCTCCTGAGGTTCGACTTCTCACTAGCTCCCAGTTTGGTATATTCCCTTCCTCTGGCATTTGTTCACAAAATGGCACACTTCTGACTTGCCACTGTGTTGGAGTAGTAGCATTTTTCTTCTCTAAATTCTGAACAGATAGACCAGACTCTAGCAGCACAGGAGCAGGAACCTATAGGATTGATTCGGTGCCTAAGTGTTGATGACCAGCTATGGGGCCAGTCTTCTGCTGAGGGAAGGTTCCAGAGAAGTATATACTGTGTAAGTTCTGCCCTACTTGGGTTGAACATTTCAAGATGAGCATATGTACAAAAAGTGGAGGATAACATCGATTCTGCATTAGCCATTGACTGCCGAGGTCAGCGTAGTCAAGCAGCTGAACCACAAGGGGCATCTCTATCAGAGAGAGACCAGTGCTGCCTGCATTGTCAGTGTGGGATTTAAAAGACTGGCTGGTATATGCACAGACAGCTGCTCTTCTCTCCCTCACTGCTTCAGTTGGATTGAACAGGCTGGTTTCTATTGCTTCCATTGCTAGGCTACATCTTCATGCCTCTGGCATCTGTCAGTGTCACACTCACAGTAGACTGCCACGTTAATTAACCTCTCAATGCTCTGGGTTAATAATATACCTTCCCATTGGGTCGTTTTGAGGGTTAAGTGAGTTAATTGTTGTCAAGTGTTTGGGATGCTGACACGTAGGCAACACTTAAAGAGTTAATAATGATTGTTATTATTACTAAATACTATTGAATGTTAGGTGAGTGTTGGTTCAGCACAGTTGCTGGTACATAATAATACCCTATAAAGAGTAGGTAATTTTCATCTCTGCTGACTTCATAAATGAATAAGTAGCTGAACCCCTTGATTTATCTTTGTCTTCAACCAGAAAGGTGTCTGTACAGCCTAGGAGTGTGATTAATAGTATATAAATCTGTGAATCAAGAATAGTATCCAGTAAATCAATTCTGTCTATGGCTGCTTGCAGGTGACTTCTTTTTTCTTCTCTTTTTTCCCTCTCCCTCTTTTATTTACTTTTATTTTGATACAGGGTCTCACTATGCAGCCCAGGCTGGCTTCATACTATAGAATCTCTTGCCTCAGCCTCCCCAGTGCTGGGATTATAGGTGTGCATTACCACACACAGTGAAGGTGATTGTTTTTATGGATGCAGGTTTTGAGCTATTAAAATTCCATGAGGAGAAGGACTTCCAATGCAAGGAGCAGCAGGACGACTTGGCTAGAGGAACATTTAGTGATTTAATCCCTCATTGTATTAGTCAGAGATCTCCAGATAAAGTCAATAGAAGATAGATATAGGTATCTCAGTATAGATATATCTACCTGTATCCATAAATACCTAGCTACCTGTACACAGAGACCTATAATGACACATTAGCTGACTTGGTTAAGGAGGCTGAGAAGTCCCACTGTCTGCATACTGTGAACTGGAGATGCAGTTGGTAGTATAGCTGAGTCTGACTCCAAAGGTCTGAGTACCAGGAGAGCCAGTGACACAAATCCCAGTGTACAGTTAGGAGGAAGAAACAAAAGAACAGCTTCCTCCTTCCTCTGTCTTTTTGCTCTGTTTAGGCCTTCAATGGACTGGATAATGCCCGTTCTCACTGAGGAGGGAAGTGTACTTTCCTGAGTTAACTGATTCCAATACTAATCTCACCCAATCTGACAGATACGCTCAGAAATAATGCTTTATCTGGGCATCTTGTGGTGGCCCAGTCAAGTAGACATTTCACATTGATGCCACAGCTCTAACCTCTCCATTGAAAACAAAGTGGATGACATTGTGTGCCATATGCCTTTGCTTTTGTAAAGGCCATGGGCCTCACAGCCTCAATTTGATTTTCACTTGGGCTGGGGTTCCACTTCTCTAAAATGTGAGTCTTTCATTTATGGCAAGAAAGGCGAAATCCTTGATAGTCAGTGCTTTTTGCCAGATCTCCCTGTGGGAATTAGAGAAAAAGGAGGATGGACTCCTGAGTTCATTATGTTAATGGATATTTCTTCTCTCCCTGTGCAGCATATCTCCTAATCTGGAGCTTGAGGCTCTGTTCAAACGACATTTTACTCAGGTGGAATTTTATCAGGGTTCAGTCCTCAATCCACATGACCTTGCAAGAGTCAAGGTAAGGAGGAAGACGTTGCTGTTCTTTTATTCCATCTTGTGGGGGCAGCTGTAGAGTCTGACTTTGTGGTCAGGGGACATGCTTCCCAGGATGGCCAAGAGCCATCTCCTAAAACCTTAATAAGATAACTGTGATACCACCAACCTTGGCGTCAGCCTTCCACTGACCCCAGGATCTTGCTCTGCTGGAACATGCTAGACCACCTGTAAGCGATCCACACTTGGACAAGTCTTAACCTAAGGTTGATTTTTCTGGTCCCTATATGAACTCAAGAGTCTTACATACAACATAACAATCAAGTAATTCCAATCTTGATTACTTAAGTTGAACTCAATATAGCTCCCATATTTAATAATTACATCTGAAAAAGACATTAGGGTAAACTGTAAAATAAAATCTTACTAAGCCATCAAACATTTTGGGCTTCCTTTTCCCCACCAAAGACTCTAGGTACAAAACTAAACTTTCAGGTATCTGACATCACTTGGTCATGAGCTAATCATTTTTTTTACAGAATCTGCTAAATAGTCATCTTCTCATAAAGCACACCCAAAGCTTAGAAGAGAAAAGGATAGAGCAAAATGGCATCTTATTTATTTAACATAGACTTTGTAAGCTTGTTCAATATTTGCATGCCAGTGGGTATATGTTAATATTGTAAAGACACTGAGGTCTAAATGCTAATGATGGTCATTTCATACTTCTGTAAATATTTTAATTGGCAAACATGAATATCCAAAAGAATTTGTGCAAATTCTTTGCATTATTAAAGAAGTCTAGAGACAATTTGTGACATACTGTGGAGGAAGCTATGCCCTTTCACCAAATGCAGGAATGTTTCTCGTAAGTACAACATACCAAGTAGACAGATTGCAAACCTGGGCCAGCATGAGAATTCTCATGTTTTTATAGGCTGGTTAATCTTCATATCCACACATTACCCAAGTTATGGCTAATATGATATCTTGTGAGAACAGAGAAAATAGTTTTTGTTCATGGACCTACTTTAAATGCAAACAATTATTAGCACATCAGGCTCATGGTCCCCTCTAAGGAATAAACTCCTTTTGGCTCATGTTTAGATAAGTCAGTAGGTCATATTTCGAGTTCATTTGAAATACATCATTTCATATATGTAGATTTGTTGTCCTTTGAACATCTGAATACTAACAAATATAGAGATGCTATCACTTTAGGACGCCAATCTCTTAGTACACAGATAATGAAGATGTGAAAAAGATTAGATGAAATGGAATTTGGAGTCTAAACTTCTGAATCCCCAACTACTTAGTTAACTTGCTAACCAAGGGAAGAGGCTTACCTCAACCAACCTCTATTTCCTGGTTGAACTATTAGAATAATCGCACAGAGAGTTGAGAAGTGAGGAGGGGACTGAAAGACTTGATTAATTGCATTTAAAGGAATCTGGCATGTCAGCAGTTACGTCATAGAAAGTATAATTACCCAGGTACATGCTGAACTCTTCAGCCACAGCAAGATGAACTGCTTATCCCCTAACAAGAACCTGCAGCTTACACTTTTGACAAAAACTATAATCTTTCAGGATTGTTTTTTTCTTTTCTTGCAAAACACCAGGTTCCCTAAGAGCTGTCAACAGAGAGTGACTGCAATTGAGTGTGGCTATTTATATGTTTGTGTTCTGTGACTTTTCCTTTTGGTGTCTCAGATAGAGTCAGCAGATGCATGTCTGATCCTTGCCAATAAGTACTGCGCTGATCCAGATGCTGAAGATGCCTCCAACATCATGAGGTAACTCTGGGGTGCAGGGGCCCAGGAAGGCTCCGGGCTTAGCCTACTTGCAGCTCTTTCGGGTCTGCAGAGGATTACCGCTGTGGGACATTCTTTCCCCCATAACCCACTCCACAACGATTCCCTACATAAGCCTGGTGGAGCTGAACTGTGGTAGTGAGGAAGGTAAAATCACACAGGGCACCACCAACAGGAAGCTCAGCCTTAGCAGATGGCATCTCAGGGACTCATAGTTGCTCTTGGGTTTGAGATTCCTGGAGACAGAATTAGAAAAGGAAAGATAGATTTAGATGGGTGCTGGCCTGAATTAAAATACTATATTCCTTAAGGGGAAATAGACTGATGATATCATTGCCGGGGATGGTTTTGACCCTAGAAGACATGTTTAGTTGGTATTACTAGGGGACCGTCTTGCTGGTCTCTGGTGGGTAGAGGCCAGGGATGCTGTTAAACATCCTACAGTGCACAGGACAGCCCTACATAGAGAATTATCTTGCTTAAGTGTCCATAGTGCTGAGGCAAGAAGCCGCCTGTTAGAGCCTACCCAGTAAGTTTACAGCAGGTTGACTCCTATTGCCCCAAAGAGACAGCTGCTGACCAATTAGTTTGTTTCAATTGTTTCCCAAAGTATGTGTTCTTCACTGAAATCATTTTCAGTGATTTTAATACTAATAGGAATTCTGGAGATAATGTACTACAGAGTATTTTTTAAGTCTATTTGGCCATAAGTCCCCCTTGTTTGTTTTACGCAACATCTTCCGGAGGTGGACACTCTGGGAATACCACCCAGTGCCTTTTCTGCCCATGGGTTGGGCCTCTCTAACTCTAACTCGGTCCCAATTCCATAGACCTATAGTCACACCCTCTGACTATGAAATAACTAAGGAGTTCACACGTTTTGATCCAGGTAGTTAAAGCCCTGTTGGAATTTGTCTTTTCTCTAGCGTTAGTTGTAGAATAGATATTTAAGCTGGGAGGGAATAATAAAGAGAATCTGCTAGACAGGGGATGAGCTAACAGAAGCTGTCTCACTCCCACTGAATTCCCAGGAACTCTTGTTTAATTGTGAACACTTATCCTTTGGTCCAGACAAACGATTTCCCTCTCCCTGAGGCCTGCTTCCCTGTGTCCTGGAAATTTACCTGAAGGTTGGGAAGTTTCCTCTGTGTCATTACAATGCTTGCATCTCCTTTGTTTTTGCTTTTCATCAGTGGCCCCAAGTGACATGTGCTTTCCCATCCACCCATGATGTGGAGAAAGGAATTCCCCTGATGCCTTTGGGATGAGCAAGTCCTCCTAACAGCATCTGGTCCTTGTGTCTAGCAGGCAACATCTGGCACAATCCTCACTTTGGCAGTAGGCTTAGAGCAGTATTTTAAGGAAGTCAATGCATGAACTCTTGTAAGCCTTGGGCCTGCCAGGTGACAGAGAAGGTGGAATAGGAATTGGCTTCACATCTGGCCCAATCCCCTAGCTCCAAACACAGATGGAAGGTGACTACATTGGCCAACCTCAGTTTAGAGTGTCACTTGTCCCTTTTTAAATTAAGTGCATTTCCATCCTTTGACACAGTTTTTTTGCTATCATTTGAAGTGATAAAAATGTAGTCTCTAAGGAGCTAGATAGACTTCATTATCTTTGAAATTTCAAACAAATAAACAATACCTCAGAAGCTGAGTTTATGATTTGAGCTTACAGAGAAGTTTGGGCCTGCACACTTTTCTTCCCCAAAGGTGAATAAGAGAAATGAATAATAGCTTTAAAATGTCATTTTTCTTAATTTCAATATTTTATTTTAATTTTGACTATGATGGGCTAATATAAATACAAATAGGTACCAGGGTGATTGGCAGAACACAAGATGTATAAATTACTGGGCACAGGTGGTATCAGAAACATAATTCAGCCAACTAGAGTCAGAACTAAGGCTCAGAAAGCATTGGGGAGCTCAAGGTTAAAAATGGGCCCTGTTTTTCTCTTTATTTGTATAATCCTCCTTCCTCCTTAGTTTAATGAGACCAATCTGCCCCTTTTGAAATTAAAATGTCAAAGAGCCATTTGAAATGAGCTAATGCAGAAAACTGGCTGATGCTGTGAACTGCATTGAGAGGCTGACAGAGGCTCAAATCCCTTGAGTTATAAGCAGGGCCAACACAACACTTTTTCAAAAAAAAAAAAAAAGAAATCCTTCAAGTGCAAAAGCCCAGGGTAGATTTTTGTAGGGAGAGGCTTTCTTGTGATTTATTTCCTAGATTCACAAGTTGCAGCTTTTCAGGTAAAGCTGCTCCTGGGCTGCCTTCCCTCCATCTTTGCACAGAAAGGGGTAAAGTGGGGAGCACAGCTCAGTAGGAAGTTTGTGGGGGCAGTGGTGATAAATGCACGTGCATTTCTGATTAGGCGTAGGAGGTGGGCCTTTCTGTGGAATTGCATTCTTCAGCTTTCCTTGTCACAGAAGGAAATGTACAATGTCACCTCTGACAGGGTCGGTAATGACAAAAACCATAACTTACACGTGGAGAGAGCTTTTAATGATTTCAAAGCATTTTCACATCTGGTCTCTCATTTGCTCTTCATACCAAGCCTGTGAAGTAAATAAAGCAGGTATTTTTGCCCCCAATGTCCAGATGAGGAAGAAGGAACCGAGAGCCCAGGGATTTCCTGAAGGTCACTGCATTCATTAGCACAATAGCTGTACTGGAAGCCAGGTGTTTCCCTTCATCTCCCTGTTCCTCCCCTTTTAGCACTGTGATTGGCAGCAGGATTGCCAGTGAGGAGTGGAGTGGGGGCAGGTGATAGGGGGGCTAATGGCCAGTATGGACGAAGGTGATGGACAGGAATTTTCCACTAGATCATGACCTCCACAAGGCATTGGCCCTTATCTTTAACTGGCATTCAAATCATCATTTAGCTTTGGAAGGCTGAGTCCTTGTTCTTATTCAAAGAGCCCTGCTTAGAAATCATGTTCATGAGAATGGCCAAGCATTTGTGACAACTAGAAGCATTTGTCAGGAGGCTTGTTTGGTTTATCATTATTGTCTCAAGTTGTTGTCTCAGAGAAATGAACTCAGAGCACATTGTTTCCAGGTTGGTCCCTGGAGTGCAGATTGCAAACCTCCAAAGGCCCCAGGATTGGAGCTTGCTTCAGATGTCAATATAGGCAATGACTCTGCTCCAGAAGCTGTCAATGTCAGTCCACCCAGGTTCATATTCTATGACTCAGGGATCACAGGGACCCCTTACATATTTTTATGCCTAGGACACACATGGCGGCTATTTTGTGATTTATTACATTATCAAGAGGCATGGTGGTGATAGTACAGTTTAACCTGGCACAGTGATTGCAAGCCCTCTAGATGACCCTGACGTTGGCCCCACCTGTAAATGGGGCCATTTACTCCATGGTAAGAAAAGCCTGCCTCAGCTCTGGTTCTCTCTTCTTCAGAGTAATCTCCATAAAGAACTACCACCCGAAGATCAGAATCATCACGCAGATGCTGCAATATCACAACAAGGTAGGATGGTGAGACTGTGCCAGGCCTGAGGCCACATACAAGCTCTGGCTCCAGTTTCTTCTCCCTTTCCATAAGCCTGGCCTCACATACACACACACACACACACACACACTCAGGTGTGCACATGGGTACACAAATACACCAGTGCCATGCAAAGGCTGATAAAGACATGTAGCAGTTAAAAATTTCCTTGGGCATTTCTTTAGGCCAGGCACTGTTTTCAGTGGGTTACTGGAAGGAAGCTCCTTCATGAACTGGTTCATTCACTCAGGAAGTATCTGTGGATCTCCTCAGTTCAAATATTGAAATATTCTTAGATCCTATCCATTAAATTCCAACAACTTCCATTTCTATGAGCAGCTGCCATTTCTTAGGCAATATCTGTTGAATACCTACTCTGCAATTAGTGCCCGACCTGATACCCAGAGGCACAGCAATGCAGAAATCCTATTTTGTGACCTCAGAGATTTAGCAGGTAAAGTGTAGAGTGTTCCCGGAAATGGATAGGACTTATCTGAGACCGGGTCAACTTGAAGGAGCAAAATGCAAGTTGGGTGAAGAAAGTGGAAAACATGAAGTTCACAAATTCAGTATGATAATTTACAGAGATGAATTCAGGAAAATAACCAGTTATCCAAAAATTAAACACAAAGAAATGTTCTTAGTGTTATAGCTTATAATAGGGGTTGATCAGAAAGAAAATTAACATCAGAGCCCATGATGTCTCCCCGGGATTACTACTCAGTAAACCAGTTGAAAGTCTCTCATCCAAACCCCGTGTTCCTTCTCTCAGCATGTCAGTAACTCCTAGAAGACAGCTTTCGGGGAGGGAGTGTCACCCTCTTCTATTTGATGGGATATCAGTTATCTCTTTAATGAAGCTTGGAAGCTGGAGGCTGCCCAGCGCCTGGGTCCAGGTGTCCTGTCTGAACAGAATAACTCCCTGCTGGGTTATGAGTGAGAGTGTGCCCGACCTTACAGGCTGTATTTCCTACAAAATAGGCAGTCAGGTGACCCAGAATGGCAGACCCCATTCTGCCAAATGCACCAGCACCATGCCATTATTTCTTAATTGCTGGCAAGTGCTGGTCCATTTTTCTGTATAGAGGCCCATCAGAGGCCATTGTTGAATGGAGCCTGCTGTCAGTGACTGGCCCACTGCTTCAGACTGCTGCCCACTGCCAACCCTTGCCCAACCCACAGCAGGTGACTCCACTGCAGAATGTGTGTCTCTCCAGCCAGTCGGTTTGGTGGTGGGTACCCAAGTTTGCATTACCCTGTTTGTCTCTGGAAATCTCAAGGACACCGAAGAGATAAACCAAGGATATCAGTAACTCGCAGGTGTCAGTCTAGAGAAGGTTTTTGACGGCAGCTCCTGTAGGTGGAGGTGAATTTTATTAGCAAGGCTGTGACTGGTGACAGCTTCTGCTGCAAGGAATGCTTCTTCTTTCATTTGTGATTTGAAATTTCATTTAGTGTGGGAGTGCTTTAAGCTGTTGTTTAGATTCTTGGCTGAATTTAGATTGAATAGGAAAATTAATGTTGTATGTTTAGAAAGAGATGTCAGTTCTTTTTTTTCTCTTTCCAATGGGTGCTGATGTAGCATCTTCAAGAAATTAAGGATGATTTAGCTATGTAGGTCTTGTCAAACTCAAAGCAGCACAGCAGGCCTAAGATCCAGATGGTACCTGGTCAGTAATCACAGGATTGTAACAACCTGAGTGTCTCGGCCAAACCTCCTTATTGCGGTTATTCAGAAACAATGATGAAGACATCAACAGACCCATGAATATTTGCCTAAAATGTATTTTGTTTAGAACCGTCCCAATCTATTTGGATTTCAGGGTTGGATTAGTAAGGACAGCAGGAATTTGGCAAAAGGCACTTTTCTCTATTATTTTACCTCTCTGTTCTAGAGGAAGAATTGTTTGTTATATCATTCCTTGTAGAATACCAAGTAGACATTCTTCATTCTGCTTCACAATTTTACTCTGTTTACTAACATGCTTCCACCTACCCTTCCCACATGTTTTTGTTCCTCTTTTCATTCAATACTTTTTTTCTTCCTCTCTTGGCCTTTTTTCTGCACCCATCCTAGATGTCCATAGATCACCCATTTAAACTTGGTTTCAGGAAAGAACTGATGTATGTATGAAAACTTATGTTATTAAGAACATATTTCAAATGATAGTTGATCCCATAATTGGACACCAGGCTTGCAATATAAACAATGTCAATTCCATATGATCTAATGAAGGTGATATTCTAGAGCCTAAAGGGATGTATGAAAACTGCCCACTCTCTTTCCATATAAACTGGCCTTGAGCTTGTCATCATAATAATTGCAGACATTTGTGTCCTATTTTATGGCTTTAAAAGAGCTTTGACATCCATTATCTCATTTTGTCCTCACTGGGCCATCTGTGCATTTTAGCATCCCAGAATAACTTCAGACCAGGGGTCTAAGCTGTGTTATAAACAGAGCAATTCTTGTGAGTACAAATCCCAGTCACTGGGCAGTGAGCTAGTTTTAAAAGAGATGATGACATTGCCTGTTTTATCCTATTGAATCAAACTGTAGCTCCTGAGATCAGACTCAGAGAAGAGCTGGTGCTCTCCAAAGTAGATCTCTTTAATATTTCTAGATTTTATGGATAGAAGCAATTTTAGTCTGGTCACCTCTGAACAAAAAGAAAGAGGGCACATCTGCTGATTTGTGTGTGAATACTTTGAAGCTATTTAAGCAAAGGATAATTTATGCCAGCTTAGAAAAGTGTCAGTCCTACTGATCTACTGTATACTTGGTTTCTTATTTTCCCAGAAGACTGTAGTGAGAGAGGCCATTGTCTCTGACTTGGAAGCCAAGCCCTAGGCTCAACCAGATACTAGTTCTTTGAGCTTTCTCACTATCAACACTTACATGTGGGCAGTAGTTGTGTTAGTCAGGTTTCTGTTACTGTAATGAAAATCTGAGATAATCAACTTATAATGAGGAAAGGTTTATTTTAGCTCACATTTTTGTAGATTTTAGTCCATGGTCAAGTGGCCGTGTTCTATTGGGTCTATGATAAGGCAGCACATGTGATGAAAGAGTGTGGTACAGCAAAATTACTTACCTCATATCCAGTAAATAAAAAAGAGAAGAGAGACTAGGGTCCCACTATCCCCTCCAAAGGCGTGCCCCCAGTGACCTTAGGACCTCCCACTAGGTCTCACCTCCCAAAAGTTCCATCACTTCCCAATAATGCCACCCTAGAGACCAAGCTTTTAACACACGGGCTAGCTATTAGGAGACATTTAAAGATCCAAACTATAGCAGTGTTTCCTCTTTATTGGCCTTTTTTGTTTCTCATAGTGCTTCCCCAAGGTTGTATATGTAGTAAGAGCTGGAGCTGGTACTGGAACTTGAAATAATCTTTCCTGGTTTCTCAGGACAGTCCGTTCTCACATTCCTTTTCCATGAGATGAGGGGTGATCCAGTAGCAGAAATGGAGGGAGATCCTGGTCCTGCTGGAACTACCCTTTCTCTTCTCCAAATTAGAGAAGAATTACTGGTAGACTCCTATATGATATAGCTGGCATTTTCCACTAGACCAACTTCCCTCAAATGAAAGAGGACAATGTGGCCAGAAACAAAGAATTTGAGTTGCTAGGTCAATCTCTTCTCGTGGTTTCATGCACACAGACTTCTCTCCCAGGCTTTGGCACACTAGCCTCATTTCCTGACCCATGATTGGAGAAAAGAGGATGGCAAGAGAAGTTATGGAAGCCTGAAGCAAACATTACTTTCTTGCCCAATAACATGAAAAATAAGTCTAAAGAACTCAAACCAGATGGTGACATGAGGGATCCAAGGCTGAAACACCTGGGCTTCATACCCTGGATGGATGGCACATGGGAATTTGAGAGACTTTCTAGAAAAATGTTTTACTTGCTTGTGTGTTTCAAGTTGGCATAAAGGTTATGTGGTGTCTCTCTGTAGCTTGGACCACTCAAATCTCCTGTCACACACAAGTTCATTATTGGATATAACTTCTCATTCTTCTCAGATGATGTTACTAAAAATGAATATTCCTCCACTCCAGTTAATGTTTTCTCTACAATGCCAGGGAATTAAAGGGAAAAAGTTGCCTTCTTAAGCCAGTGAAGAGTGGGGAAATATGGTAGGTCTAGTTGTTGGAATTGACTGTAGGAGGTGGGGAAGGTCCCTGGTACTTAGCTCTACAGAAATCACCAACTGCTGTGGCCCACAAACAGGACTATTTTAACCATGCTCTCAACAGAGAGGAAGCAGTTGTCCCTCCCAGGAATAACCACTGCTGCCTTAGGACTCACAAGATTGTCACAAGAGTGGTGTTTCTGCAAGCAGAGCAGAGAATCCTTCCCTTTAGTTTCTGCAATGTAGACTTTAATCTTTCTAGTACAACTACCGCATATTGTTTTGAAAGGGAATGGAAGCCCCCTTTAATGCTCTTTGTCTGCTGGTGCTGGAGAGAAATAACTTCAGCACCATGGAACCTTGACACATGCAGGGACTTAGAAGGGCTCCCTAATTCAACTTCTTGTGCAAATCAAGAGTTCTTTCTGTAGCAACTTGGAAAAACATAACTCTTAGAGACAAAGACCTTGTTTTTTTGAAGTAGATTTCTCTATTTATTAGACAAATTATATCCTTAGAAAGTTCTTTTATCAAATAAGCCAAAAATTGCTTTTTTATAAAACATATAAGTCAGTCCTAATTCTGGAGCCTAGAACAGAGCAGGACAAAACTAGTCTCGACACAGCAGCACCTGAGGTATTCAGATACAACCATCCTGTCTCCACGAGGACGTGGCTCTTCTGTAGGCCAGCTGTTTCTGCTTTTCGGGCTTTCTTTACTCTTCCTCAAAAGACCTTTTTCAGAACACTGACCTCCTTCTCTGTTGTTTTTCTCTGGAAGTTATTCGATTAATAATTTTCACTCTTTAAATATGACTATTTAAACTGGGTCAAGTTCTCTGGAACCTAGTTTGACCTGTTCACACAGAAAGAGATGTCCATTTCCTTTTCTCTGGGGACCATTTCTAATAAGCAAACACTGGCTCTCTCTGTAATGTGTCACGTGGCCTCTATTTGAGGTTTTAGTTACCCACATACTTAAATTTTGCTTTGAATATGTGTGTGTGTGAATTTGTCTCATGTCTTCTGCCAAGTTAAGTCTTCTTATGTCACATTTATTTAATAGATTTTTGTAGGGTGATATTGGAGTTTGAACTCAGAACTTTTTGCTTGCTAGGCAAGTAGTCTACCATTTGAGCCATGCCTCCTCAAGTACTAATATAATTGGAGTTTTTTTTTTTAACCTAAATGCTGAACTATTTTGGTTTTTTTCTGTCTTTTCTTTTTCTTTCTTTTTTTCCCTTTTTTTACAACTCTGGAGAACATTTTAAATTTCAAGTTTTGCATTCACTATATTATCTATCATTCTTTGCTTCTTGCCACTTAAAAATAATTGCACAAGAATGCATCTGGGTGCTTGCCTTGGGATCTGACCTAATTGTTAAATAGGACCAGTCCATCAGCAAAAGACTATAAGGTTATGCTGATAACTTAGAGCAGTGGTTCTCAAAATGTGGTCCAGACCAGCAGCATCAGCATCATCTTTGTTTTACTTCCTCTTATGCAGCTGTGAGAGAACAGTTTAAAAGGGAAAAAAGATTTATTTCAGAGGTGTTGGTCCATCATGGTAGGAAGGGCATGGTGGAGCAGAGCAGTTCACATCATGGCAGCCAGGAAGCAGAGAAAGGGGAATATAGGAAGAGGTCAGGGCAAAAAATTGGACACAGCCCTAGTGACTTACTTCCTCCAACTAGGCCCCACCTCCTGTTTTAGGGGTGATGACCCCCAAGTAATGCCATACTGTTATGAACCCATCAAGGGATTAATCCATTCATTAAGTCATATGTTCTTTACTCTTCTCTAGAAATGCCATGTAAGACCTCCTCAGAGGTGTACTTTACTAATCTCTTAGGTATTTCTCAATCCAATCGAGTTGACAATTAAGATAAACCATCAGGACCTCCCACATGTTAGAAATGCAAATTATCTAGCTCCACTCCATATCTACTAAATTAGAAACCTAGGGGAGCGGGGCCAGCAACCAGTTGTTTCATAAACCCTACAAGTGATTCTGATGCCCACTCAACATTGGGAGTCACTGATCTAGAGTAATGGGAAGGCAGGCAAAAAAAAAATCAAGAATACACAGGCACCCAGCAGTCTTAGTCTTCTGTATTTGAGGAGTCAATTTATGAACAAGATAGCCAGACATCCTCACAGTGAGGGCTGATGTGTCTGCCATATGAGAAAATTGTCTCTGGGCTGTATTTGGCTAAGTAACACACCTGAGAGTTGGACTTGGGCTTTGTAGGTGCAGAAGCAGTATTGCAAAGAGACTGAAGTCTAATGAGGAGAAGTATAGAACAAAACACCCAACACCAGACCCATGCAGGGGAAAGAACGGACAAATCTCCATGATCCTAAGTAGTTGGGCAATGCTGCATTTTCCAGAAGAGATTTTAAACACTTGAACATGTAACAAAGCAAGGTCTCATACCTGTGTTTGTTTCCACAGGCCCATCTGCTAAACATCCCAAGCTGGAATTGGAAAGAGGGTGATGATGCAATATGCCTCGCAGAGCTAAAGTTGGGTTTCATAGCCCAGAGCTGCCTGGCTCAAGGCCTCTCCACAATGCTCGCCAACCTCTTCTCCATGAGGTCATTCATAAAGGTAATGTCTTGTCTTATTAGAGCACATTAGCCCACGATTCCATTTGTCGTGAGGTTGAGTAGAGCACAGCTTAAACTCAAAACAGATCGACGGGCTTTAACCACTTTGGTTAAGGAGAAATTCCTTGTTGCAGATTTGGGCATGAGGCCAGCTCCTTTCAAAATTATGTTTTTATTTTTATTTGGCACATCCATGGCCATTAAATGATTGTTCAAAAGCACAAAGCTCTCTTTTTTTAGATAAACCACATGTTTATCTATCAACAAAGCCTCCGCTGTTAAAACAAAAATATGATTTATATACATTCCATATGGCACCAGAGCGCCTAAAGAAAAGAATTATCATTTTGCTCTTTTATATCAAGTGGCTGGTGGACCTCTCACTGTGTGGATAAATGCAGACCATGTGTTTGTACTGAAGCCCAAACCCAACAACATAATTCATTTATTTATTTCTGCACAATCAAGGAGGCCAGTGAGGCTGACATGCCATGGCTATTTGAATGGAGAATGAAACGATGAACTGAGTCATTTACCCCATGAGATAGGCAGTCTGGATGCATTCATCTCCTTGGCAAAGCTAACTGGGTAGCCACTCTCCATTCCCCAAAGTGGCCACTACCTGGTGGGTGAACTAAAGCAAGAAGAAAATGGACCAACTCTCTTCTCACAGGTCAAGCCAGTCTGATTAAGAGTGTTTCCAGGGCATTGAACAGAGGATCCAGGCTCCCTACTAAGAAGGTTTTTGGGGCATTGGATAACAGTAATTCCTATCCTTGTCTCTGGGTTGCTCTTAGCTTAAGCAGTCAATGTGGCAAACCAGTGCGGTCAACTCCACCTACTCTGAGACTTTCTTATTTGGCACTGGTTGCTATTAGCTCCAGATCTGGGATTACATTGTCTTGCCTGTTATGTAAGCAGCAAAATTAGAAGTGGTCAACGTGGGAAATTAATGAGCCACCAGGAAGTCTTGAAAAATGATCAGAAACTCTGAAATTGAAGGCTTGAGACTTCTGGCTTTTTGTGGTCATGGCTGCTGTATGCCAGCAAATGGCCTTGGGTAGCATGTGGATGAGTGCTCACCCTGGGCACTCATCTATGAGTTGTGCAACTGAGAGCAGGAGTTTTGCTGGATCCTTGCCCTTTGCACAAATCTAATTGATATTATTTACCTAATATTTAACATTGGTCTACAAAAACAATAATTTATGTTGGAGCCCCTGCAATCACTTTAGCAACACTCATACCTTGATTTAAAACCTTTTTCTCCTCTGCTTATTGTGTTCCCGAAGACCTCAGCTCAACAGAACTCGAAGCTCAGCTCCACTTGCACACAAGGACATTGCATTCCTTCACATATCTCCTGTAATCCAGGATGCTGTTGTCCTGCATGGATAAAACTGAATGCAGGCAAAATGGAAGCAGCAGGGAGGTCTTTGTGGCTGTGTTTAGAGACAGGCCTCAAAGCCAGATGTAGCCTGTGTCTCCGGGGACTCTTCTGTTCAATATGAGGAGTCCAGACCCAGGAAAAAGGACCGTCACCAAGGGAACTCCTCTGGCTTTTTCCACCAAACTCCTGTGGTTTTCCTCCAACAGGGGATTGCTCACAGGACCCAGCATGTGATCTGAGGAGCTAGGCTCTGCTTCCTGGTGTTGATGTGACATGGGCCTTGGCAGGGCCCCACCACAGATGGGGCCACTTGACATGCGTATGTTTTGATTTTGTGGTGCCTGCATGGTAACTAGAGCTGCCTGTCAAGAAAATTAATAAAATGGATATGATGCTGATTCTTCAGTGTTATTAGCAGCAAGGAGAACTTCTGCCCAACGTTCCTCAGAACCCTGACAGGCCTCACCTTTAAAGCCAAGGATGTCCCCTTGAGCTCTGCTAATCCCATTGCCAAGTTCCTATTTAGGAAGAGCCTGTGGGAAAGGCAGGACTAGACCTTGGTGTAACTGAAAACACATTTCCCTCCCAGGGTTATGTTACTGCATTATTTCTGTCCAGGACTAACTTCCCCTTGTTTGGAAGTAGCTGTCTGAACATTGCCTTTTGACATTGAGGTGGTCTTTGTGTTGGAATTTGCTAAGGGGCATGACCTGCAAATAACAAGTCTCCCCTTCCTATATTTTTCATTTAGAATAAGGACAGCCTTATTCGTGTACTTCCTATTCTATATTGTCTTTTGTATACTTAACCTCCAAGTGCCAGAGCTTTGTATCTTTTAGGACATGGTGAACACCCCAATATTCACCTTGGCACAGGAATTTTATGTATTAACTCCCATTCTAGAAATCACAAAGCCCTCATTTTTGCTTGGGGATGGACACAGATAGAAAAGGAAATCTGTAAATGGATTATTGTTTATAGAAATTGTTTCCTTCCCCCTAACCCTATATGCTATGGTGGAGAATCCATCACTTGGTCCATGGGTCAGGCAGGCTATTAGGACAGAGTTAGAAGGGAGGAGGCTTTGGCAGCATTTGACCCTTTGGGAACACTTAGTGTTTCTGGAAGTCAAAGGTAATGTGTGAGCTTACCTTCTCCCTTGCCCTGGGTAGGCAGTATCTGTTTCTTGGTTCTGTAGAACATATTGTAGTTTTCCTCCATTCAAAGAAGAAAGAGAAGCAAGACTAACACTGTATGTATGTCACAAGCAGATTCACAGTGGTCATCCATTGAGCCTTCTATTATGTGTGGAACCTGAAAGCCAACATCCAAGATGATAAACTTTAACGAAAGAGAGGGATTCCTGGTGTATTCTGGAATTACAAAACCGGCCCAGCCAGAGGTGTCAAGAAACATGGGGGAATACTTATTTATTGCTCACTAATCTCACTCTTAACGATTCTAACCTTAGGGCCCCCAAGTCATTGCCCCCTCAAACTTTGTTCTCAATTGAATACGTTATCTCTAGATTTATGTAAACCTTTTGGGAACTGGTTTATATTTTTCACCCATCTTTTCAGAGGTAATGAATTCTTTAAGTTTGTTAAATCCTGTAAAACGATTTTTTTTTCTGGGTCTTCATCTTTATTTAAACTTCAAGCTGTGCCCTCTACCACTGTGATGTGCTGGAATTTATAAACCCATGCTAGCTAGCCTTATGTGCAATACCTTTAGGAAAGAGGCCCAGGTTGGCACCCAGAGGTCCTGCTGCTCAGTAGCTATTGTTAATGTGTTGGAGGGTCCTGTTTTCACTGCTGAGGTCCCTTAAGGAGAGCAGGTGAATGTTCTGGTGCCTGTGACTTATCTGCATTTACAGTATTAAGCAGCCTTGGACAGCCTGTTTCCTCATCACCATCCTATCTCCTTCCACTGCTCTGTAAGGTTTCTGTGAGTCTCCTGAATCTTTTCTGGGGCGACTAAGACAATGAACTTGTTTGGTCTGTCTATCATCACCTCCTCCCCGAATAAGTGGCTACATTTACTTTCAATTTGACTTCCTCACTTGGATGTAATTTAAGATCCATTGTTATTGTTTGTCAGTTTTACTATGTGTACTTAAATTTCTCTTCCGTGTGTGGGGAGTTTCCAGTTGAGACCTGACCTGCCATTTTTATGAACTGTAACTATTATTTTTATTAGGATTAGCCATCCTTGGACATGATAAGTTGTATATATGTGTGCTTGGGTGTGATTTTTTTGAAAGCATTTTTTTTAATTGGAACAGGGTCTTCTGTGTAGTCCAGGCTGACCTTGAACTGACATTCCTCCTATCTCTGCCTCCCAAGTGCTGGGATCACAGTTGTGTGCCATCACATCCAGCTGGGAGAGATTAACTCTTGCAATTGTTTTTCATTCTACATTGAGATTCCCTATGTAGCACATTTAAATATTTCTCTGTTAATCTATCATTTTATACACACGTAAACACATCTGTGCACATGCACAACCTGGAACGTGGTAGGTACTCCATGATTATTTCTCTCTTAAATAAGTGATATATGGAGGATGGAGAAAATATGTAATGTGTTTTTCTGCACTTTCCCCTGTTCTACAACATTTGGAATTTGTAGGTGAAATGTTACTTATTATCAATCACAGCATAGTTTATATCATTTTTTTTCTGAATTAATTCTGAATGAAGAAACACAGAGAAATGTGACCTATATTATTCAGACTGTATGTTAGCTGAAGTGGTCATGGCTAGATATAAACCATTTGTTTATTATGGCTTTTGTATTGAGGTAAACTTTCAACAATGCATCGTCCTAACGCTAATTGAGCCAAGAGAATCACTTCATTAAATTTTTACTTTTTTGAGCCAGGTTTCACTGTTACCCAGGCTGGTCTTGAACTCCTAGACTCAAGTGATCCTCTGCCTCAAGCCTCTTGAGCAGCTGGGACTAGAGGTGTGTGCCACTGTGCTTGGCTAAAAGGAATTCTTTTACTACCTTTAATTTGGGTTACATATGTGCATATATGTGTATTTGTGCATATGCATTTATAAAAATAACCTGCTCTATGAGCTGAAACTATAAATAAATAACTTTTAATAATTGCCAGAATATACTGAATTCTAACTATGTGCAAAGCCATGTACTTAATACTGTGTATACATTATCTCATTTATTTCCCATTATGATCTTACCCTACCCAAACTTGGCACCATTTTTACCCTCATGTTACAATGGTAGACACTGTAAATTCAATAAAGAGCAACAAACTTTATGAGGGCATTTAGCTTAGAATTGACAAATCAAGGTGCTCACATCCAAGCAAAGTGGTTCCAGGTTTGTCCAGGAGCATTCTAAGACAGTATAAATGATGAGAGGAATCCTTAGCAAGTGCCATCATTGCAATGTGAGTCTTAGGTTTCTAGAGTTCACTTTATGGAGTCCATTGATTCAATTGAGCTCCCATGGGCACCAACTGGATTCCAGACAGACTGTTGCTCAGACCAATATATGCATGGCTAGGAGTCACTGATGAGGTATGAGAAGCTTCTGCTTTGACTGGGATGTATGGGCACACATGTGCACAGCCCCATCCTATGG